GAGATTGTGCCACTGCACTCCAGCCTGGGCGACAGAGCGAGACTCCGTCTCAAAAAAAAAAAAAACCATTCTCACTAAGGTATTTAATGTGAATCTGGTGAAGCCTGCAGATCTCGCTGTGGGTATACAGCACACACCAAAGACAAGGACGTCAGCACCACAAGGGGACATTCCATGGGGCAGGGTCCTCGCAGGTGGCCTTCCTGGACACGGGGCAGGGCGGGGGCTCTTCACAAAAGGGCCTGAGTCTCCGAGAGGGGCCTGTGTAGAGCACCAGCAGCCACTGCCCCTCCTGTGTGGGGCTGGTCACCCTCCTCAGCAGCCCAGGTACTTCACTGATGGCACCTGCCCTCTCGTTCCCCCTCCCTGTCACATCACTTGACCTAAAACTAAGGTGAGAAGGGTCACATCCTGATGCTGCCCGGGCACTTGTTGACCTTGAGACCTGGGAGTCCGTGGGGCCTGAGCGCCACCTGCAGGGCGTGGCGGGGACTGCGCGGGCTGTGGAGGTCGCACTGTCATGGGGCTGCAGCCTGCACCTGCCCCCAGGCCCGTGCTAGCAGCTGACCCCGTGGGCCTCTGAGGTCTGTTCCTCCATGTTTCCTCCTACAGATGCTACCCCAGAATTAGCCTGGCTTCCCCTAAGGGTCAAATGCCCTGCGGTCTGATCTGGGTGGTGAGTCTGCAGGAGCCAGGCCAGAGCGCTGGATTTTGTCCCAAGGGCCAGGATAGTGTCACATCTTGGGAACCACAGAAATCCAGACCAGACTGCTGGGGTGAAGCCACCACAGCCCATCCGTGCACAGGCCAGAGACTCACGTCCTGTGCTGGCATGACCCACCCGACCCGCCTCCCCAGCATGCAGGGCCGGCTGCCCCCACCCTGCCTTCCTCCTCACGTGTGCCCAGCACTCATCCATGAGCGAGCCTCACTGCACAAACATCCTTTTCTTAGCCCTGTCACGCCCTCTCCTCCGTTCTCTGGCAATTCATTGGCAGAGCTTCCTGCATCTTCTCCCTCCAGATCCAGCCTCCTGTCCCGCCCACAGACCTGTCTTCCCAGCACTCCCCCTTGCTGTCCTTCACCCCGTGTGTGAGGTGGTGACAGACCTGCCAGATTTTCTGTGGCCCAGCGTGGCCCACACCTCCAAACTCAGCTCTCAGACCTCCTGGGGCCACCGTCTTTTCTGCCACTCCAAATTTCCTTTTTCCTTCCAAACCTTCCTCCACTTTTGCTCTGCCCTTCCTCCCTGAGTGACAGCTCAGGAAGCTGGGGGGGAGTGGGGGAGGGGCGGGGAGCAGGCAAAGGGAAGGGGGAGGGGTTCTGCTGTTTCCGCACCTCAGGGACAGTGCAGAGCTCTAACTACTTCAGGTGCACTTGGGCCGTCCTGCTGCCCTAACAAAGCCCTGAGACTGGGTGATTTACAAAGAACGGTCTGATTTCTCACAGCTCTGCAGGCTGCAAAGCCCGAGATCCAGCCACTGGCACTGGTGTCTGGGGAGGGCCTTTGTGCCGTGTCCTCATGCTGGAGAA